CAGATAAATTAATACGTTGTGAATATTAACTTGTTCAGATCCGATGTAAGGTATATTTTATATTCATGACCCTGCAGTGCAAGAACTCGGAAAATCAGTTTGACTTTATTTGATGATTATGGTTTATTTTGAAATGTTTCCATATAATAATATTTTACTTATTAACTGTTATATTGGAGCACATTATCGCTTCTGTTATGTGTTTATTTTCGCAACGCTGTATATTCAAGTTATTTTAATTGCTTACTTTGATTGTATTTGGTTATTTCACTTAACGGTTGCTGCTTATTGTTCGCGTTGATGTTGATGTTGGCCAATGGTTTCATAGGTTTATAGACTTACGAAGCCGTATTAATGAAAATTTCATTTTATATTAATTTGCTAAGGATTTAATTAAAGAGTCGAAAACTCGACCATTTTAAAAAACCAGAGCAATTTGTCGCCTTATAATAGCTACAAAAGATTGGAAGGATAAACGAAGGAAGGAGATCGGTTGGTAAATGAAATAGGAAATTTAATATCAAGTGCAATAGCGTGTGAGTGATACAAATGTGCTTCAAAATAACATGCCTTTGAAATATAGTCTGTTCCAAAACGAGGTTGGTTTCCTCCCGATATAAAGCATTTAGTAATGTTAGAAAGAAATATAAAATAAATTAGAAATTTGCTCCAAAATTTTGCCAGTTAGTTTGGTTACTAAGATGAAGAAAAATTTTACATTTTCTAAATATTCGATAAATTTTACTCAGTTTGTTATATTTTATGTTTAATCCTTCCAACCTTTACAAATCAAGTAATTCCTAAAACGAAGATAAGTTCTTTCAAGTAAACAAAAATCCATATGATGCACATTAGGTATTAGGTGCCGTTAGTTTGAGCTTCAAATGTTTGTTCACTTCTAAAATAGTGATGTTAAAATTCAATTTAAATATACGCTTTTAATATTAACGATTTACAGACAAAATAATGTATAATGATTGAGCAATCTTAATCTTGTTCATTGATTGACTTCTCACTGATAGCGTCAGCGAGATAAGATATTTTAAAAGCAAAAGAAAGACAGTCGCGTAGGCGCGTCTACTTTCAACATCATTTATGGTTTGTATTCTTTCTTCTAACTTGAACCTGTACCTGCCTATAAAATGGGAAACGATAACTGTTCGTTCTATTATACGAAACAATTATATGCTTAGAGATAGAAAGCGTAAGAAATATAATCTGAATTAATTTAAATAATTGAAACTCGGTCTGCTACAAACGTGCACCGAGTGATGAAGTGCAACAAAAGTTTTGTTACATAGACTGGTTATGGTCATATCTACCTGAGAATATTAAATAGTTTAATGTTTAACTAATTAATTTTAATAATTAACTACGAGCCTCTTTATTATTCACACATCATGAAGAATCGAGTACTGAATATCCATTGCTGGTATTTAGTATTTTGCAAAAAAATATCTGCTTATGAAACTCTCAATTTTTTTTTAGGAATTTATGTTACCTTGTTGACTAAAATATATTAAAGAACCGCTTTCAATCTGACAGTATAGCAACTGTAAATGTAAAAAATTATATGGATGTAGAGTTATCACGATAACCAAGGTGTCGAAAAAATACGAGATACTCTTTATATCAAGTATGTGACCAAGTTTAGGCTGTAATTACCCTTTTCACTTTTCCTGAAATTTCAACATAACATGTCGTGGTACGAGTAGTTGCTCAAGAGTATATAGTATATTACGGTACAAGAGAGAAAAGTCGAAGTTTCGCCACTGCTTGAAGTTGATGCACGAGGCGAAGCCGAGATGCTAAATTTGTTAAAGAATTAATTCACGAAGAATCTTGAATACCACAGGGGACACCCTCCGTTTGCATTCTTTCAGAGTTTAGCAGCTCGTTACAAAGTTGTTAACATCATGACGCACATTTCTCTGAAATATAGAAACCAAAGAGATAAACCTCTTACGAAAGATCGCGAAGGTCGTCAACTATTAAAGAACCAGGCGGACCTGATCCGCTTGAAAATTAGTATGCAAACGTGTTGATCTAAGACCTTTTGTAAGTTAAAATACATAACTATATTTTAAGTCCTGAATAAACTTAAAACCAAACCTGATTAACTTAAAATTTTCCCTGTTTGTGTTAATGTCCTGTTAATATCGCATGCCGTTAGCAGATCATTAATATTTTTAATATGTTAGCAAAAATAAATGAGCTTCAATGGAAAAATAACGTAAAAAATAATTTACAGTAATGAAAACTCCAAAAAAATATTTGCTTGCTTAAGCCGCTAAAAATCCCTTTCTCAGTAATAAAATCTTGAATTGATAAGGTATTGATTGCCGCAGGGATCGTTGGGACCCTTAAGATTTGATATTTACTGTGACAATGTAACAGGGCATTATTGCTACTTATTTTTAACTTGTTCTAGAATTGTTACGAGCTATATTGTTTATCGTGAAAATATGTTTCAATACAGATTGTGGCGTTGGCTTCGGTTTGTTATCTGCCTGATTTCTTTCATAATTTTTTTAAGCAAGAGATAATTACTGAGAAGTTTAAATTTTACTTTGATTAATGCAGAATTTAGAAGAGAATTTGTTAAATGAAATTTTAAAACAAAAACCGTAGTACTTGTACATTGTATAAAGCGCACGTTTTCCAATTTTAGTCGATCTGGTACCACATCATCAACTAATAGTAAAAAGTTTCAAAGGTCAAATTCCTTTGCGTTCAAGAGAGCAACCTTACACAGGATATGTTTATTACAATCAGTATTTACTAAATTGACTTTACCTTGATTCTGAGCACGAGATTCGCAACGACCAAAGTTATGACATTTAGACTCACCGTCTTAGTGCGATTTTAATGAACTTAAGGAAAATAAATCAAGGAAATTGTAACATCCTTCAATTTTTAAATGTATCTGATTATTATATTATCTGAATTTAAAATTATAAACTGAAACATAAGTTTCATGCTTGAATGTGGAATTCTAATCAATATTTGGTGTCAGCTAAGTAAGAAATAATTGCAAATGAATTAAATCCAATTAAATGTTAAAAAACATTCTGTTATAGGATAGCTTTTGGTTAAAAACGCTTGAAATTGAGGAAGCTATAGAGCTGCCGTTTTTCTTGATTTATTACTAAAGAATTTTTGCCGAAAATGCTTTAATGTTGGTTTTTGTATGTTATTAACTAGAACTAGTCCAAATTAACTTCAAAAAGTGAATAAAATGACTTCTAAAAGTGTAGAAGTGCCTACAATTCGCCAAGATTCAAATGCTCCAGAGGCCATTAATTTCCTCGTAATAAAAATCACATTCCTCTCGAGCATGTAGATGATTTCCCCATTCGACGTTGTTCCAGCAATTGGCTTGTTATTTGTATGATTCCAAATTTTTTACTTCAAATTTGCCAAGTTTAAAGTTTAAATGGTTACCAAAAACACTTTCGAAATATAGGCTGGTTTTCTAATACTATTGGTTAATTGCCATAATTTACTAGATCAAGACTCTCATCAAACTGACTACTGGACTACATGAAAAACGTGCTTCATACCTAAGCTAAAAGTGTATTTTCAAGCATAGCGCCTCAAATAAAATAAGATATTTTTTGACACTACTTTTTGCACAGCTTGTCAGCGAATGGTCGATTTATTTAAAGAACTGAAAATTTTAATTTTCCTATTACAGATACTTCAGTAGATAAATAGGTTTAGAAATGCCAGAAATTTTTGCTAGTAATTTTTCCAGACCTCAATAAGAACTATCCAGATGTGGTATTTTAGCATAAATTTGTACCAATTCCTTATAAATTTAGTTTTTTTTAGGAACTTGAAAATCACAAGCATGGAAAGAAAGTATAGGTAATGGAAATTCCGATTGCAAAAATCTCATTAACTAATAATTAATTCAAGACACTACGTCATTAATAAAATACATTATCTTAATGGATATGAACAACTAATTTACATACTTTTGCATTTAATTCAGAGAGAATGTACTTTTAAAATCATCAAACTGTATTTTTGTAGACTTCCTCAGCAATGAAAACGTCTACTGCCTAAACACATTTTGCAAGAAGCGACTCCAACGCAAATGGACGTGGAGAAGCCCAGAAAATCTAACAAAAATTATTATGTTCCTTCAAACGATCGTAAATTCTGCAAAGACGTCTCAGATTCAAATAGAGTCGACACAAGTAGCAACCACAGAATGGTCCGGGCAAGTTTCAACATTGATTCCAAAATCGGAAGAACTAAGTTAATTAATCATCCTAGATTTCCAACAAGTGAAGAACTGGAAGCGATACAGGAGGAATTCCAAAAAGAACTAACAAGACATTTACCATTGGATAAAATTCTCGAAAATAATATGGATATAAATGAACTCAATGAAAAATTGATAACATCCCTAAATACAGCAGCTAAGAAGATCTGCTCAAAAACTAGAAAACTAGGAAATTAAACTTAGCACCACCACCATGCAAATGATGAAACAAAAACGTGAGTTGGAAAAAAGAACAGAAGAACAGAAATTACTTACCAAATCTGTAAGGAAAGCCATCCGTAGAGATATGAGATCACACAGAAGCAGAGTGATACGAGACACCGTCGCAAAAATTAAAAACATGAAAGTTCTCAGCTCAAGACTGTCCAGTGGAAAGCAAATAATCACAAATATAAAAAGCAAACACGGTATAGTTGTATCAGACCCTCAGCAAATTATGCAGGTCATTGAAGAATTCTACAGAGAGTTGTATTTGTCGGGGATTCCTGCTGCGGAAACTGACTGGCATCGGGTAACAGTAACAAATTTGAGCTCAGACACCTTCCAGAAAGATCCCTGGAGGAAATAAAAACAGCTCTTCGCATGATGAAGAACGGTAAATGCACGGGAGAAGAGAAGATGCAGCAGAAATTGCAAAACAAATCTCTCCTATGGAATATTTAATTATTTATTGACAAGCGTATTTCGAAATAATTTAATTTGCATGCAAATATAGATATATTTATGGAAAAGATTGGAAAAAATACTTTACATCTTACACTTGTGTATGTGTCTAAGTTTGGCTTCGTGTAATACAAAATGCATTTAAGAAAAACGCAATAAAAGAATTAGATCGTGTTTAGTACCTGAAACTTTAGCAACAGCTGGAGAGTGTTGAATTACTATAAAAGTGCTCTCACTGATGGAATTTGAAATGTTCTTCGAATTTCATTGCCTGTTAAAATAAAGAAGGAAATAGTAATTGAATTGTTTTAACTTAATCAGTGCTGCTATTCATTGACTGATCGTTTGTTTTAAGATCATCGCACTGCACATTCCATGTAATAACTTTTACCTATTCAACTGCTAGATCTCGTTCAAATGTTTAATAGTTTTCAAGTGTCGTGGATATCCAATATTTGGAAAAGAATTTTGGTGATATAATATTACTAATTGTCCGTCTTGTTCAATATTTTAATTTTATTGTACCTCTGTTTAAAATGAAGAGTTTGGCGTTGTCCGAAAATTGTAACTGCAAGGGATTTTTTCGCGGCTTAAGCGGACAAATAATTTTTGAATGAGAAAATTTTACTGACTTCGGCGGAACCTGCGACCTCCGTGTTTCCGCAGGTTCAAGTACTGCGAGAAGCAGTAAATTTTTCTTATTCCAAAAATTATTTGTCCGCTTAAACCGCGAAAAGTTCCCTTTCATGTACTTCTGTTTCGTTGACGTCGACAACATGACATTGTTCTTAGGACACTAGTCCACTAGTCTTGGCTCATACGGTACTAGTTTTGAGCATCGCCAAAAGAGACCACCGCCAAGCAACCTTAGGGGACAAGAGCGACAAGCTCTCAAAGAAATAAGAAGGAACACAAACATCGTCGTCCGGCGAGCTGACAAAAGCAATACTACTGTCAATATGGACCGAGAAGACTATGAGCAGAAAATCAAAGACCTACTGGATCCAGCTACTTACACAAAGCTCAAGAAAGACCCGATTCAGGTCAAGTTCAGAAACATCAACCGCCTGATAAAAATGTCGTTAATGAATGAGACCGTCATGAAGAAGATCATTAAGTGAGGAGCCCTTCCACCACGTTTGTATGGATTACCCAAAATTCACAAGGAAGGAAGCACAAAATATCTAGCCTCTCTTCTGCACCCACATATAGGATCCACAGACACACATATCAGAGACTCTAAACATTTTATTAGCCAAATCAGGGATCTGAGACTGGAACCAACGGATATGCTAGTTAGCTTCAATCTCGTGTCACTGTTCACAAAAGTGAAGTATGTTCAAAGCTTGTCTAAAAGGCACCTACTTCCTATGGGATGGAAACTTCCACGGACAAATGGAAGGAGTAGCCATGGGAAGCCCAGTCAGCCCGGTTGTAGCAAATGGCTTCATGGAGAGATTGGAGAAAACTGCTTTGAGAACCGCACCCTTTAAACCAACTATCTGGTATCGATATTTCGATGACACGTTCGTGATATTGAGACATGGTCGCAATAACCTGGACAAGTTCGTCGGCCACCTCAACAAACAACATCCAGAGATACAATTTACCATGGAAGTTGAACAAAACCAACAGTTGGCCTTCTTAGATGTCTTGGTGTCCAGTAAAAGGTATATTTAAAAGCCACCCACACGGACAGAGACCTCCACAAGCTGTCCAATCATCACCCAAGTCAAAAGCAAGGAATCATCAAGCCTCTCACGGATAGAGCCAGGAAAATATGTGGACCGCAACAGATAACAGCGAACTACAACATTTAGAAAGTTTCATTCAAAACGGATACTCTCATAAGAGGGGTAGGGGTGAACCGTGGCCAAAAAAGTAAGACCACTCTAAGAGTATTTCTGCTTTTCATTCCCAGAGTTACGGACAGAATTGGAAAGACCCTAGAGAAGCACAACATAAAAACAATCTACAAGCCCACAACGAAGATTAAGAAATGTCTAAGGTCGGGAAACCTTTACTAGCGACTGCAGGTATCTACCGAATCCTATGATCCTGTGGAGGCGTCTACTTAGGAACCACGAAGAGGTTCGAGAATCGAGGAGGATCGAAAAACATCAACGAAATTGCAAATTGGGACATGTGGAAAAGTCGGCAATGGTGAAACATGCCCTTCGCGAGGGAGCGCATAGCATCAGGTATGTAGAAATTCAAGTCCTAGCCACAACAACAGACGATCGCTCCCGACTCGTCCGAGACGCCATCGAAATCCACAAACACAACGACAACTTTAACAGGAAAGAAGAGGCACTGGCGCTAAACCTTGATATACCAGCAAGGATAGATAACGGCACAGGACAGGACGAAGAATCCGCTACACCGGAACATAGCAACTAACAGAATGCGCCGATGCAGATGACACATGTTACGTCATCACATTCGGTGAATAAGTACGTACTATGCCCGAGGAACCGCATCAGGACAGTGTAAGCTGTCAAGCAAACCACCTCTGAAGATGCAAGCCATTCGGGATTGCGAAACATCAGGAATAAATCTCAGGAGCCTAAAAACCCGAAAAACTCACAACTTTCAAACCAGATATTATTTATATTGTCCTCATGTCAGGTTGTTGTTTAAGCCGTGAGATCCAGTTAGAACAGCGCTTTCAAGCGGTAATAAGCACTGTTTATTGTTTGCGAGTTTGATGACCTCGATAGAATATAACTTTTCACCCATTTCATATGTTTTCATTTTAAAGTTTTTTACAATGCATTAAAATTTTGCAGTGGCAGTATTTATCGTATTGCTACATTAAAACGATTTAACTAAAAATTAAAATTTTAGCTTAAAGCATCATTTATAAAGTGACCTATCCAGAAATTTAAATCATTTAAAGAAAGCGTCTTTGCTGCTTTTAGATATCGGGCCAAGTACCAGTTGAAAACTTTAGCTTCTTGATCATAATTCATTTCATTGCGTCAATCATGTTTATAGGCGGAGTGTTTAATAAACAAATGCAAATACTTTGAGGGCGTATTTGAAAAATGGTTTTCGCCAGTTGAAGGTTTTAAAATTTGAATATCGATTTAACAAAAAGTCAACCACAAACCAAATTATTCAAAAGACGCTCGTTACGATAACCGTTTCAAGGAACCTGGAAAAAAATATTTTCACATCATTTTGAAAGATCATGCATGTCCCTGAACTATTTGAACTTACCCCATGTATTTTGGAGCTCAAAAGCACTAACCTATCTGCTATAATCCGCGCTCAAAGAGTAGTTATTAATTAAAGTCCAGTGCTTATTACCCTAGAAGTTATTACATGCTAAATTAAGCTCTCAAAACCTGATTAAATTGTAGTAAAAAACGTACATTGAGTTCAAATCTAAATAAGTTCCACATAAACATGTAATTACGGTTGCATCATAAAACAGTCCGCAATTCTTATTATAAGTAATGAAAATTGCCAAGTGCAATTTTCAACTTAACAAATCGAAGTGAAAAAACAGAACCTGTCCGTAACGCATAAGAAAGGTAAACTACATTCTAGTAAATTACTTAATCATATCAAAATTATTTCCAGCCATGTCCGAACAACCAGTCACCTGCCTACCGCCACCATTGCCACCCAAGACAAAGGCCAGAAGGCAAATTGAAGAAAATCGCGAAGAACTAGACAAGACCGGCAAGTTCTCAAATGGCCTAGATGGCGAGAGAGACGGAGTTGTAATCAGTGCATCATATTCACCGCATCGGGACCAGAAGTCTTCTCGGTCTCCTACCATCACAACGGTAAATCTAAACACCGTTGACCTGAACATTCCGGACGGTTTTCAAGAACTGACATACTCCTGTAAAAACAGCGGCAAAAGTCATGTCGTGAAGATATTGATTAATCCAGAAGAAACCCGGTTGCTGTGCAACGGGGATGAAGAACATAGTTTTAGTGGGTGTAGTGACAAGGACAGTGGTATTAGTGAGGTGCCCTCTGGAGAAACCTGCATTAGGATATCAGGTTTGTACTTTTTTCCGGCCCATAAGCAATTAAACATTTGTTTCAGTATCATAAAAGTTACCTATTTACTTAACGTTCTTTTTCGTGCATGTTTTACTGCTGTTGTCTATTTAAAGTTCAAGTATAAAAAGTGGTTTTCGGCTGATCAAACGTTTTAGCCAATTGATTAGTCTCGTGAGAAAGTTAGCAATTAAAGCTGAAAACACTTCTATTTTATAGTATTTTTAATTAGGATTTATTTAAATTTAATTTTATCCATTCAATGCGATACCCACGAAAATCTTTTTAATTGCACCATATAATACCTACCATGGGTGGCATCATTAAAATCTGCAACTTCAACATATTTGTATTACATTACAAATGATAATTTAGGAATAGCTCATCAAACTCTTCGCTTTGTTTTGACGATAAATTTGTAATTACAGATTTTGAAGCTCAGGGTTGGTAACAAACAAACATTTTCTTTAAATGCTATTCAACGCTTGCGCTCCCTTTTTCTTCATACAACATGCTTGATTGCAAGTCTTGCCTGAAATACTTTCAGATGGTTTTTCACCGAAGTGCTCGTTACTGCTTTAATTTGGAAACCTTAATTATTTACCTTCGATTAATTACCTTTGAAAATGTGAAGTATGATCTAGAAACATATGTTTTATTATGAATATGCAATTACTTGATTAAAATAATGAAAAAGGTTGAAAGCTGGCTTTCTCGTCAAGGCTTAAATTAACACTTATAAAGGTTACAGATACTATATAGGGTAAAAATATTAAAGATAATAAAAGTCATTTGTTCCATGAATCTTTGATTGCGTAAAACTCTATGTCTTCAATTTGCTCCGTATGTAGAAACTTTAAATTCAACGTTCTTAGACAGTAATGGGCAATCCTAAACTGGATTTTCATAAAACGTTCTGAAATTACCATCGCACCATATGCCATATGCCGCAAATCGGCGTTGAACTAGGCTATATAACTGTTTACTAAATTTCAGTTTTTGATAGTTTGTGAAAGGAAGTAATTTTAGCTCTTCTAAACATTATCGTGAGAAATTTGACGTTCCAAATGACACAAATTATTAGTTGGATCATTACTGTTTCTTTTTGTTTTTACAGAAAGTAATTGACAAATTTAGTCGATTTGAGGAAATATAGCAGTTATACGATTAAAGTATTGAGTGAATTTGGTTTAGTGTTGCAACCTCTCTATATTTTTTTATTTCGCTTCATCCGTCTTGAACAATTGATTGTTCAGTTGAATTGATGGTGCAGGGTAGTTCTTGGTCTCTGTAAGTCAATATCCAAGGTGGAAATTCATCGAATGCCCGGTTTTGGCTTTGTATGTAAATATTGCTTTTTGCTCCTACAAATTGCTTGAGTTCTAAATACTAAATGTTGTATGTATATTTAATAGAATGCGCTCGGCATTAGCTCGGAAAATGTTATTCGATTTTATATGAAAAAAAAAACATATTTTCCTCAGAAATCGGGTGTCGCATCCATTTCAATTTAATATGTATTATACTTTACTACAGCACTTTTATAAAAAAAAAACATTTTTGATCCTCTTAATGTTTGATTTTGATCACCTTAAGCAACACATGACATGATCAGTAAAAACTTTGAAAAATAATCATTATCATGTAACAGCTATTCTATCCATTTTTGGATATAAGCCTCATCAAGTTGCTTCCACATTACGCGGTCCTCAGCGTGTCGTAACCATAGTTTTCCTGCAGTTTTGTCGATGTCGTCTTTCCAACCGGCTTTTGGTGCCTCTATTTTACAATGTCGTGGCCTCCATACAGTCTATCTGTTGTCTGCTACGTGATCTACCTTTTCTTGTGTCTTATACAGTCCGTGACACTTGATTACTCTCACCAAAATATTTGAAATCATTTTTGTTAATAGTCAAAATTTTGATAAGCAAGCCACATGTATCATTGAATACATCGTTTAATTCACTCGTACTTCACAATGGAGAAATTGTTAGAAGCGACTATAATAATTGATAGTGCGACACTTGATTACTCTCATTCACTTTTTAGAATCGTAGGTCTCTAGGCAAGTAGAAGAAACAAAACCATGTCACTTGACAGCGGATTGACAGTTGTCCAATAGTAATCTGAGTATATTTGAGTGTCCCAAAAGTGACTGGTATTGATATTAGACGCGGTAACACTTTATCGTTAGAAGAAAGAGGGCGAATTCAAGCTTATCGAGAGGAGAAATATTAAAAACTAAAAATTGCAAGAAAAATCGGGCGCAGCTCATGGGTAATCAATGCTTATTTAAAAGACAGCGAAAACTAGGGAAATAATCGACAAGGACGCACTTCAACTGCAACAACACTAAGGGAACGTCGTGTAATTCTTCGACTTGCATCCAATTCTTCTAGCTAGACAAATAAGGGATCAGAGTGGAAGTAATGCGTCCATACGCACGATCCAAATGGTAATAAAGAAATGTCCAGACTTAAGAAGAAGAAAGCTACGCAAGAAGCCTTTGCTGCTTGCACGTCATCGACAAGAACGTTTAGAGTTTTCCCGCATTTACCGTAACTAGACAGAGGAATGCAAAATATCGTTTTCACGGATCAAAAGAAGTTTAACCTGGATGGTCCTGATGGTTTCCAATATTACTTTCATTACGTAAAGATGGAAGCGAAATGTTTGGCTCGCCGTCACAATCGAGCCAAAAAAAGTCGGTTCAGTAGTGATTTGGGCAGCAGTTTCAAGTCAAGGCAGAGTCAGCATCGAGTTTCTAGAAGGTCGGCAAACTGCTCAAAAGCATTTGGAGCTGCTGCAACGGAAAATTGCTAACATAAAAGCTTTATATCCGGATCAAGAATGGATATTGCAACACGACAATGCTCCAATTCACACCGCCCAAATAATCCAAACCTGGTTGACTGCTAATAATATTTCAGTTCTGGACTGGCCTGCTATTTTCCCAGACTTAAATATCATAGAAAACGTATGGAGTTGGTTGGTCAAAGGCGTTTATACTGAAGGAAGACAGTTCAATAATAGAGACGAGTTAATCGCCGCTGTTAAAGCCGCCTGGGCGAAGTTCCAATGAATTTAATGGAAAACTTATTCAATTCATTGCCTCATCGAATGTTAGCAGTCACTGAGAAGCAGGGAGGGCATACCAAATATTAAAATAAGTATTAGGTTTAAATGTTGTGTTCTAGGTTAATTCCAAAATATGAGAGTAATCAAGTGTCTCATTAAAAATTACAATATTTGATTTGCAAGAAAAATCAAATGTAGAATTCGAAAGTGTAAAACAAATTATTAAATAGATATTGTTAAAATCTTTAATCTAGTGTTTGAGTAGCTTAGAACTAGTATATAGACTTAGAACTATAGTAGCTAGAGAACTGTATGTTCGTTTCTTATTGGGGCTTGTAGTCTCACTTCAAGCATCGCTCTTTCCATTTTCCTTTGACATCGTTTAACCTTTTTCATTGTTGTTTTATTTGTGGTTCATGTTTCGGACGCATATGTTATAATTGGTGGCACTCATAGATTGTGTACTTTTGTCTTTAGATATTGTGGTAGTTTTGTATCAAATACTTGGTTTATAAGTTTGCGAAATGCCGCGCATACCATTTTAGTCGTCTGTCAATCTCCGCTGTCTGTGTTTCCTCTGTTAATGTTATTGTCTATCGCAGAAATATGTATTGGTCTACCGAATTGGTATGGATCTATTAGTTCGTTTCCCATTTCGACAGGTGTTGCATTGTTTCCTTTTATCATTATTTTTGTTTCTGAGATATTGATTTTTAACCCTATTCTCTCTGTAGCTGATTGTAGTTGTCTTAGCATTCTTTCTAGGTCGGACTTAGTTGAGAAGTTCTTTTGATTTGTTGGTAAAAAATGTTTGAGTAAAAACAAAATTACAAATTATTTTTTTCACTAAAAAATGAATTAGTAAATTATTTTTTAGACCTGCATCTCATAAATGCAAAGAAATGATAAAGTGATCATCCTAATACGACAATACAGTTAGGAAATTCTGTTGAAAGTACGCAACTTTAAAAGTTTTCCCACATGTAATCAATGATAAATCATTCAAATTGAAACAACAATGCAATTTGGAATCAGAGTACTTTATAGATTTTCATCTGTTGGAAGGAACGTTTCAAGTTCTGTGAAATCATAATTTCTTGGTCCATCTCAGGTAATATTTCTGACATAGTACGCTAATGTTTGACTGACTAATAGAACACGCAATTTTAGTGCATTATAGAAGCGAATGGCTCATATGCCTTTTTTCGCTTTTTTTCCGCATATTATGTTTAAATAATCTCCTATGCGATATCAAATTCAAAATTTTTCCTGTTTTTTTTTTGGCTCAGCTAAAGGCACTGGGGTCATTCAAGATAGTAGTTTTCCCATCGCTTTTTTCATTGGCCACACTTCGGATCCGTAGGTGGTTATGCTTTTTACAATCGCATTATAAATGAACCTTTTGTTTTCTTTGGTGAGGCTTCGGTCCTAAAGTAGTGCACTTAAAAGAGCGATTGCCTTTCTGTCTTGGCATATTCGGTGTTTGATTTCGGTATCGACAAGTCCGTCGTCGATGATTTTAACTCCCAAGCATCGATATTCATTTGTTTGATGGTAACTCCGCCCTCCAGATGAGGATCAGTTTGTTCTCCGCTTATCACCATGTACGCTGTCTTTTGCGTGTTTATTTGCAGACCTCCGTGTTGATATTATTCAGTTAGATGTCGGGTCATATAGCTAAAATCATCATGGTCTTGCGCGATTATACAGGGTCGTGTTTTAGAGTGGTATGCCCCTGTTATTTCACTTGTCTTTCTATCTCTTCAAGAATCCCTCCAGGTATATTTTTGAATAAGGTCGGTGAGGTACAGCATCCTTGTTTCAATCTTTTTGATCCTATGAAGCCGATACGTTATTTAATTTCCTGATTTCATCTTCATTACAGGTTGTTTGTAGAGACTCTTGATGGCTTTAATTAGCTCTACATTTATGCTCATTTTCTTTAATATCGTAAGCTTTTTTCAGTCCACAAATGAGAGATGGATTTGTTAGTTGCGTGCCATCTTTTTCTCTATAACTTCCGTTAGAGTGGCAAAATCAAAATGTATGCCAAGGCTTAAAGCAGCAACAACGCTACACATAAAAACTGCTGATGGTGGAAAAATACACTGAAACGTATTTTAATTGATAAATAGAGACAATAAATGACTGAAACCCAGGAATTAATTTTGAGTTAGAGTGAATATATGGTCCACGACTGATCTGCCTGCACGAAATCCAGCTTGTCCTTCTGCTTTTATTTCGTTGTACTAATTTGCTATTCTATTTTTCAGATTTTTTTCGTACTTTCTACACATGCTTGTGACCTCTATGCCTCGATAGTTCTCACATTTAAACTTATCCCATTTTTTGAATATTGAGCTAATCTGTGATATGCTCCATTCTTTTGGCATTTCCGATATATATATTTATAAAATATTTAAAATTACATATATAAATATATATACATTTTTGTATCAGTATGGTCGAATTTATGTTCGACCATTGCAAAGTCTCGGAACCGGGAAATATTCCGGGCGAGCTCTTTAAATATGGCACAGATAGGTTATGAAGAAAGTTGACAATATTCAATATTTAAGGGTTAAATTATATCATGTACTCTTGCATAATACACACTTCATAACAAAAATGTCTAGTTAGATTCGAGCTTTTTCAGCATGCACACACCCGCATCCTTCATTATTTTTTTGGTAAATAAAATTAAAATTTCTTTGATGTCTTCTCAAAACGTGCTAACTTGCAACCCTATCTGCCCTGGAAATCCTGAGTAAACGCCTACATCTCAAAGGCCTCCAATTTCTTCAAGATTTCTTTATTCAGAGTTCAGCTGTTCGTCGTATACGGTAAAACAGGGAACACTCGTAACAGACAATCATCCTTATTCTTGATCCAACGACAAATGCCTGGCGGTTAGAAATGAACCCATTTTATTAAATACTGATGTTACTGGTTCTATTCTTGCTAAGATTCAGATTTTGTACTGTGATCTGACTGTGACTGATAATGTGATCTGTTACTGATAATGTAGATTCAGTACTTGTAATTACAAGTGCCGTTGATTAGTACTTCAATTTGACTTCTTCTGCAATCGCTCCCGATAAAAACAGTCCGAACAAATACTGAATAGTATTGGAAACAAGATACATCCTTATCGAACAACCCTGCAAACGCTTGTTATATGTCCCTAATAATCTATATATACGTCCGGGCTTTCGTGAAGACATCTCTGTATTAACTTAACTTAAGTTTAATGCAAACATGGCTTCTAATGTTTCAATTCCATTGGGAAATCCAAACTTGCTGTTCGACTATAAGTCCGATTTTTTTGTTCAAATCTTATATTCTTAATAAATAAATTTTGTGTATGATTTCCGAATGGCACCCCAAGTTGTATGCAACTGTCGCAGTGTATGTTTGTCGTGTTACATGGGGTTAGTGGCAATGAACCGCAACTGGGAGTGGCATATATTTCAGAAAATTATTCTTCAGAATTTGTAATTCCAATAGTGAAAAGAACTATAATTCTGTTTGGTTGCTGCAATTTGTAATACAACTATTGCAAATGTTAATTCGACCAATTGAAATAGTTTACCGCTCTCTTAAGATGTTTCACCTCATTCGCAATTCGGGTTTATGCATAACTATTGACCATATGAAGTTGCACTCAGTTGCTACTAGATCATTTGGTAACACTTTTCAGATTTCTTGTCTCTTCAATAACGTGAAAGCTTGGCTGATTCATTTCGTTTACTCAAATATATTGTGAAATAACCCATATTGCAATGTATATGCGAAAGTGTTAATATTGTTAATTTTAATGCAATTATCAATTGCTTTGAATCAACTGAGTCAACAGTTTTCAAAAGAACTTTGTCCATCTTTTTGATTAAAAATACTTTAATGTTTCGTTCAATTTCGCAATAACGTAATAGATGATAACGTACTTTTCAGTGAACAACAATTCCGAAGCATTTTCAAACACGAGCACTATGGTCGACAGAGTTGGGACATCTAGTCCATCGCAATACTATTTTAATCAATTCAGTGGCATTATGTCCAGTGGTCAAATGAGTCCTAGTGATACTTTGGACTCAGGAACCTGCAGTGATCTAGATGGAACGCCTCCTCCTCCATCGAAAAAGATCAATGGAAATGGAATTTCTGTCACTCTGATTGGTATGTATGAATTTCCCTTAGACTGTTGTTTATGAGAGCAAAATTACAAGACGTAATGGTTTATTTCACTTTCGACGGTTCCTAAGAAATTTGCTCGAAATTTATGTATTTCGGACAATCGACCGCTGAAAATGCAGTAATGAACGGCTTCTTTAAATCATGTTTTAGTCAGATTCCAGCAGAATACAAAGTGATTTACGAAAATACGTGTAGAAAAATTATAATGCTGCTCTTAGCTTGAGAAAGTGATATTTTACAAAAGTGTTTATCGGAACTTTAATTTAGCTTAAAATTACTCTACTTGAAAGTGTTACCCAAAATTGAGGTAGAAGACCGGCTCTGACACTCATGATCCTATTATGTCCAGTATATAAAAAAGTCCGACGTCGTTTTTACCTTTCTTCAACTATTCACAAGAATGAAGCTTTTGTTTCAATCGCTAATCCTAATCGTTTGATACAAAATTTCATTTTCATGTATTTGTCGTATCTCAATAACAAAAATAGTTTCTACCAAATGTTCAACTTTCAAACTTGAACTTGAACAGAACTTGATTACGTTCGCATTGCTGACATAATTTTTCTTTGTTTCGTTGTTAGTTGAGAATTTTTTCATTTTGCGGTGAAATTCAATGAACTATCAATGAAAACGGGCGAGGCCAAGGTTTTTGGCTAATCACATACATAAGAATGATAATCCACGGGAATTAGGAGGGCAAAATTCCCATAGACCACGGCTTCAAAGCCCGGAAAACATTCCTAAATGTTTCTAGTGGTAAATACTCTGCTAAGTAAAGAGCAATAAGCCGCAGAAACCCTCAGTCGAAATACCAATTTGTTGCCCAATATTTACATGGATCGTTTCATCAGCTCTTTGGGAAATATTTCATACATTATGAGGTGTGTAGTTCAGTAGAAATCAGTTTACACGCTTTTAGCAACTGATTTGGGTATAGTAGTAGTTTTGAAAGCGTTTGCCTTTCTATATAAAACTGAACTGACAAGGTTTCAATATTTTAATGCTCGTTGCTATAAAGTAGTATGTAGGGCATCTACAAAATCTTTGTTTTCTAACCAATTTTTGGTCCAGAATGGAATTGAATTTTTTATGTCGTCGTACCAACGTGTGATAAGTCTTGCTCTCGGTCTTCGGCCGGTCCATAGCTTCCATCGCAACAACATCGCTCATTTCAGTTGTGCTGCCCGGTCTATTATATCTGAAATTCTATGGTTTCTGAAGTAGATCTATCATATATTGGGAATATAGATGAGTCGAATCTACTCGCTACCCGAAAATATCTTCCACTTATTCTACTAATTCCTGCCTGCCACATATATTGGTCTTCATTCATATTGGAATTTCTCTTTTCAAGATTTTCAAATATTCGGAAATATGTTGTGGTTGATTAGTGACCGTGATGATAATCAGTAATAAATTTTTCAATAGTGGGATTTTCGGTCAACGGATGGTGGCAAAATAAAACAGTACTTTTTCATGGGCCAACGTTTCGACTTTATTCAAGTCATCCTCAGGGCTCTAAAATGAAAAACAGAGGGGTTTTTAGCCTAGAGCCTGGTGGAGTTTCAATACTTAGTGTGTGACATTGTTATACAATACAAATTTAAAAAATAAAAAAAAAACTTAAAACTCAACTTCACAACAGATTAAAAATTAAAACACGACCATCAGACTATCCAGTTAAAATACCAAAAAATTACATTAAAATTCACATTGGTTTAAATAAGTCAATCATAGTCAGTCCCCTCAAGAGAGTTTAAAATTACATGAAATAAAACGATCAGTCGGTCAAAACTATAAAACACGCTCAAAACAATAATCTCATGTCAATAAGATTTAAATTAAAAAAGAATAAAAAGCAGTGAACAAAGGACGAAACTAAGTTGGTAAAAAAATTTCAAGTCTAAAAAGGCGCAAAACAGCGATTGGTGATACAAAGAGCAAAAGTAGGTTTCGGAAGAGACGCAATCATGAAGATACGTTCATTATGTAATCACTCACCTATGAAGTCAGTGCCATATTTACTCAAGCGTAACATGCTGCTCAAGGCAGATGTATGTATTTGTATATCTTTTTTGTATTTGTAAAAACTTCATTTTTCAGCCATTAGTACATATGAAATTAATTTTAGTTGCTTATATTATTATTTTCTATAAGGCTAGTATAGGCTTCACTCAGATTCTCTGTGCCTCTTCTAAAATTAACAGAGTTGTTAGGTTTTATGAAAATTGACTCACTAATGAGTCGTTTCATTAGTCTTGGCTGATGGTCGAGAATTTTGATGTTACCAAAATCAAAGTTATGGCTGGTGATCCTTTGGTGTTCTACCAATGCTGTGGGGTTGGTTATATTGGTCTTAGCTGATTCTCTTTTGTGTTGTGATATTCGCTGTTTTAAATATATGCCTGTCTGACCAATATAGCATTGATCACAGTCTGAGCAAGGTATTTGACATATTATATTCGAATTTAATTCATTGGGTGTGTTAGACTTAGTTTTAGTGTAAAATAATCTTCCAACAGTGTTCGAACTGGAGAAGGCTATTTTGATATTATCCGAAGATACAACTTTTGCTATTTGTTGTGACAAACCAATAAAGTCGAAACGTTGGCCCATGAAAAAGTAGTGTTTTATTTTGCCACCATACGTTGACCGAAAATCTCACTATTGAAAAATTAATTACTGATTAGGAAATATATTACCATTATTTAATTCCTAATAGGGCCAAGCCCCATAAATAAAATCCAAAAGGTGAATTAAACCAATACCCTTGGATCAATATACACACGTTGTTACAAAAAAATATCTCGTTTGATTGGAGAAAGTTGACAGCAACTTTTGCGGAATCCGGTATTATTCACATTGTCTAGCCATTGTGAAGATCAAACATATATAACACTCCGATTGACGAACGAGTACGGCATTTTGTAGAATGCCTAAAATCCCTCAGTTAATTTGCGGCTAACCCAAAGTAGTAGTCATTCTGCAAAGTGCCGGGCGGGATCGTCAGTTTGCAGAATGCCTAGACATTTCGACATTGCCGGATTTCGTACATTGCTGGTAACATATTTTTTGCAAGCAGATTACATATTTCGTACTACCTGGAGGTCCCAGTGTGCTCAATAATCAGATGATAATGAGAACATTTGAATTATAATTAAAAGTTACTCCACCCGTGAATATGGAATGGTTGTGATTTCCTGAATTTGCAGAATTCGAACAAATTTACCTTTTATAAGAATCGCAAGTGTCGGTTCACTAAACTTGTTTTTTTGTCAAGATATATATGTTTCACTTGTGTTGCAGCGAGATGTTATGCAAATTATTTAGTTATAAAGTATCTAACAGTGCCAAAGATTTTCGAGATGTTTGTTATAAAGGACGTGAATTTCATAACTATTTTGACTTCCAGGTTCCCATAAGAAAACAGCTAGTTTAAGCAGTGGCGCCGAAGTTGACAGTGATGACAACGAGAGCCAAAGTAGCGCCAGTAGTCTGAGTTGCGATTCTTTGAATTGCGGAAAAGTCTCTCCAATAGGAAACGGAAAACTAATATCTGGCGCCGGCAACAGGAGTTCACTTCTGCCTCCGACACTGCTGCAAGATATCAGGCAAAAAAAAGGTAAATTGCCATATTTGCATTTTGTAAATTTCACATTAAATATATTATTGTTATGATACAAAACTTGAACGTATTAATCCGTTTAAACAGAATATTTTAATTAGCCGATATCGCAGAGCCGCAGGTACATATCACTTAAATTTATTTAATATGGCTTATAGTACCTATACTTTGCAAACGGCTCAGGTATTTGTTGATTAAAAGCATTAAAATTTAAAGTACAATATACAGTTATGACTAACATGCTAATTCTGCAATGTATGCGTTTCATAGGACGACTTAGTATATGTATATTCAAATGCCTTACGACCCAATCGATGAGTAGGATCGGTAGTATATAACTTTTGATCACATGAATCTGCTCTGCAGTTTATTCGACTTTGCAAAACACTGATTTCATATAATCCAAAATATTAATGGTTTTGATTGTACAGCTTTGATACAACCCCAACATGATGCCAATTTCAAATCTAACACAAACGAAACAAAAATGGTAGTAAGGCATTGGTATGTGGCTAGAGAAAAACATTCTTAATTCTAAGACTACTTTCACTGCCGCTCTCTGGGAATTTGAACGTGACTTACAGAATATAGTAATTTCCAGCTCCAAAAAACACGAATATATAACCTAGCGCAACTGTAAAGTGTTTTCTTTAATTTTTAACTACTTTTCTTTACTTTGTTTCGCGATTTTCATTGCTGCATAAAGTGGTGTATTTCTTAAATGATAGCTAACTACAATAATGATCATAAGAGTCTCTGGTTATTATGACCATAGTTATATTATGCAGGAGCAATATTATATATAATATTTTCTAATGGGATATGTTATCATATGATACAAATTCGGACCTGAAAAGTAGATACTTAAAACGTAAAGCATTAAAATCTGTATTTTTTGGGATGCGTTGTTGCCGACCTTGTCATACCCGCTAAAGTAATATTCTACTAAAGTCAACCACGGAGCGTGTTACCTGAGATTAATAGGCTCTAATCAACATTCACAAATGTGTTTCCGGCATAGATCTAATTACAGTTAAGACTATGATTGACAAGTCCCACATGGAGGAATTTTGCTTACAAGCAGAACAATTCCCCAATAATATATGAGTACAATCGCTTATATGCGCGAAAAAAATTAGTCATTATATTTGGCTCTAGCTGGAAACATTCCAGAAGCGATTAATTTTTGTGCAAACTGGAGGTCAATTAAAAAACGTTATTCTTTCTGGTCCCAGTTTGACTTATTTCTAAACGGATATTACAAACAAATATGTTTCCACATACAACATAATAATATGTGCAGATGGTTAAAGAAGAATTCTTCATGTGCCGTCTTCGTTGAGAAGATTGGCCATCATCAATGCTAGCGTATCCTCGAACCAGCAGATCTGAACAAATGATTTGTTGTGCATCCGTGCCAGTCACACAGATTCTTCAACCACGAGTGGCGTCTTCTTCCCTGTATTATCAGTTCTAACAATATGTATTTTGACAAGCTCACAAAATGTCCGAGATACTGTAATTTTCGTTTTTGAATTGTCAGAATTATTTCTTTTTCCTTGCACATCCGTGTTAGCACTTCAATATTTGTTATTCCTTCTAGGCAGCTAATTTTCAGTAATGTATTAAGCCTTTAGTCTGCTCATATCTTCCTTCTTCAGAGTCCATGCCTCCACGCCATAAAACAGCACAGATAGCAAATAGCATCTCAGAAATCTGATTTTGAATGTGTTTCCATTCATTCACTCAGAATATGTTTTCCATTTTCATAAACGCTGATCTTGCCTTTTCTGTTGTAATTCTTATTTTCTGGGAGCAGTCGCTGTCCCTGTTAAGAATGGCTGTTGCACTGGTTGGTTGGGTATGTAGATTTGTCCGACATCATTTGTGCTCTTGCTAATCAACATGCATTTAGTTTTTTTAACGTTCATTGTCAATCCATATTATTGGCTTTCTTCATTTACTTTGTTCACTAATATTTGTAAATCTTGGAGTGTGCTTGCTATCAGTACTGTATCATCAGCATATTTCAAATATATTTGATTGATGTGAATTTTGGGTGATTGGTTTGGAGTTGAAGAATTTTTATTCGATCGGATACAAGGATAAATATATACAAAATGTATCTGGTTGGGCACTACAATTGCGACTCCACACATGTGGTGATTGTTATTGTTACCTGAAAACTACTTTGTACCGTTGGTTTTGAGGTATTCTCCACAGTTTAGCCATCGTGTGTTAGTAATTCCTAAGATATCTAGATTCATTCTGGCCATTTCTTGCACAACATTGTTTATTTTCCCTGCTTCATATAAATTCCGCACGTTCCACGTGTCTATTTTGATGTTCGATCTTCCTCTGATATTAATCATATTTTTGTTTTGATGTGCGTAGGGGTTTCGCATGCTAACGGCCGTAAAAGGCCTACAGTTTTCCGTGCCATTTCTCCTTATGTCGAATCTTGGTCTCCGATCTCCATGATCAGTAATTGTTATCCTACGCCGAGACATGAGCATGATGATTTTTCTTGAAACGTCCCTTCGGATCTTTACTGTGGTAGTCATCCCGTGGATTTCCGCATCCATATGCCGTTGATTACTCTTGAAATTCATACGCCTTTGGGACCAACTTCTCGACCCCAGGACAAATAGATAATGACAGACAATCGCAGATGGTTGTCTGTACACACGAGCCAACTTAGCCAAAAAATCGTCTTAATTTCCACAAAAGATGAAATATAACCAGTCAGTGCTAAATGTAAATTGCTCCTTTTATTGTCCTTAGTTGATAGACAAATCAATAGTTTACCATCTAGCTTAATAGATAAGCAACAAAAGATAAAAATAATTGCTGAATGATTATCTGAAATGTAATCAATTATGTTATCACAGATTACCTGCATTAATTACTAAATTGAGTATTTTGAATTAGTACCAATTGATTAATGTAATTGTTCCAACATTGTTTTACCTGCTGATGATGGTGAGCTAAACTTGAAACTTAAATTATTATTTTTCTGTAGGAAAACCCGTAGAAACGTTTGTTTCAATTTTAACAAACGGATATGACGCCAACTGAAATAATCATTCAGTATTTTTGTGTTTGGATTGAAGATTGAAAACTGTAGATCAACAAAACCGAGCCAACGGGCGATGCTCATATTAAATATCAAACATTTTTTTGGTCTAAATCGGATTTACAGTTCCAAAGAGACAAACGAAGAAAACTACTATAAGCTAAGCTGAAGTAAAAGCGCATTGAATGGTGTCCTTAAAGTCGATTTTATTTAATTGATTTTAACGATTGATTATCAGATTTTATTTGATTTACCTCACATTAGAAAACCAAGGTACCTTTTCATTTTCCGGTGGCATTTGCATATTAATTAAATATTGAAAATATTGGTTCTCCGGTGCTAGTACCTTAGCTAGTGTTTAATGATTTTGATACCATCACCGTAGAGTGCAGCATTAGAAATACTTAGCAATATCTGTAAGCTGCTGATAACAAATTACTACAAAAGAAAGTTCGAATAGTGAAAATTAGTTGATTTTAAAGTTACAACTATATGACACTTTCATTTGTGCATGGCATTTTTAGTTATATGGTTTAGGGATGTTCGATAGAAGGCGTTAATATAGGGCAAAAAAAATGTGTTCGGAAAAAATTGTGTAAAAAATACTGTGGGAATATTTAATTATTACTTAAACGGATCGGATAGTTAGAGCACATTTAGTGCCAATTGCAACGAGCATTACGGCGTGGCATACGTGGCATTACACGTCGCAATATTCACTATTTCTCTAGTCAAAGCGAGCTTTCATAAGCCGGTGTTCATCAACACTTTGGAAACTTTCTAGTGTGCATTTCTAAGTGCATAATGTTGTTTTCATTTTTGTAAAATTACGTTCCATTTAATATTAATCCATTAACCAACTATTTAAAATACTGAACAAACAATTAACTTAAAAAAACGCTAAAACTATACAGTGACTAAAAAGCTACGAGAAGCTTATAAATGTTTATGTTCTGTAGAATTATATGGCCACTTCAGCCGACTATTCTTATAAAATGTTCTTTAAACTTCGACTATTCTTTATTATTCTTCTTTATTACCCTTCGACTATTCTTTAAAAATTAGTAATTTTTGCTATGATCAGCATGATTAACTATAGAAGAAAGCCACAGCAGGAACGAACATTCAGTCATTTGATGCTTGGTCAGAAGTCATAAGAATTAAGTCACAGGTAGTCTTCAGTCTAAAGATATACGGTCTAAGAGCCTTAAGTCATAGTTAAAGTTGGGTTGCAAGTAAAACATATTCTTCTTCTTCCTGTCTGCCTGTTCAATTATCGTTCACTTGCGTGAGGCTGTCGCTCCATCGTTTCCTGGGGCGCCCAACGTCTCTTCGTCCCCATGGGAACTTGTCGTGAGTGATTCTCACAAGTCTGCGGTGGTCTATCCTGCTTATGTGCTCATTTCATTCCTTCTTCCTGTTTGCTACGCATTCATTGATGTTCTTGACATTACAGGCTGTTCTGACATCCTCGCTTCTCTCTCTATCCAGCAGTGTCTTTCCGATAATTCTACGAAGTATTTTCATCTCAGTTGTCTCAAGTAGTCTTTTGGTTTTTGCGTTTTCCGGCATGGTTTCTGCGGTATATGTCATCACCGGCCTCACGACGGTTTTGTAGATCCTCGATTTAGTGTCCGTT